CCTACACCCCCTATTTTGTCCTCTACAGATGATGGTTTACTCCTCCCTACACCCCCTATTTTGTCCTCTACAGGTGATGGTATTCTCCTCCCTACACCCCCTATTTTGTCCTCTACAGATGATGGTATTCTCCTCCCTACACCCCTATTTTGTCCTCTACAGATGATGGTTTTCTCCTCCCTACACCACCTATTTTGTCCTCTACATATGATGGGTTTTTCCTCCCTACACCCCTATTTTGTCTTCTACAACATCTACAAGTTCTATTTACATGTTTATTTAAAGTGTTTACAGTAAATACTGGAGTTTGAGAGCAGTGGGCCATTTCTGAAATTTTAATTCATTATCAAAATTAAGAGGGGCCATTCTATGTAAAAGTAAAAGAAAACTGGAACATAAAGGGGTCAATGGCCCACTCCAGGATCATCTCTGTTTCCCTATACAGTCAGAATAACACCTGAGGGGATCACATTGCTAGCAATCCGCAGCTAACAATAACAGAGACAGCCCTTTACACGTCTGTATGTAACAATATATAAGAACAGCCTTCTCCTTCTTTTAAGCTCTCTTCAAGGTGATGCAAAACTTCAGCGAAAACTCCTACCAGATCATAGCTATCCATGGCAAAAACCAGAACAAAATCCTCTACATGGATGGCTTAAATCTCAAAACCAGGGTAAGAAGTAAAATTGTTTTGATGCAGACAATAAAATAAAAGACAATAAGATTTTGTTAGAGTGATGTAACAGCTATGAAGGCTTAAGACCTATACTTGAAGTTATGGTTACAAAGATTATGGAACTAGGGTAAGTTATAGTTGAGTAATCGTTATGTAGACCATACATCTAGTATGAGGTGTAAAATCATAGTTATAGATAAGAATCATGGTAATGTTCTTATGGCAACCACGTTGTATACCGAGTGATGATTTTTCTACGTAACAGGAGTTCAAGCATGGATTTGATGACAACAGACCTGACACACAGTTTGACTTTGACGTAAAGGGAGATAACTCATGGAAAATTAAATCAAAAGAAACCGGTCATGTTCTCCAGTTTGACACAGAAACAGGCCTCTACCTGCCGCCTGGTGACCAAGTTGACAGCCCTCCTCTCTTCTGTAACCCAGACATTGGCCCACGATTCACAGCCTTCATACCAACACAGATGAAAGTCACAACTGTGTGAAGTCAGTGGCAATACATCTTGTGTATCATTATATATCACCAATCTGTGAACCTTGTGTATCATTATATATCACCCATCTGTGAACCTTGTGTATCATTATATATCACCCATCTGTGAACCTTGTGTATCATTATATATCACCCATCTGTGAACCTTGTGTATCATTATATATCACCCATCTGTGAACCTTGTGTATCATTATATATCACCCATCTGTGAACCTTGTGTATCATTATATATCACCCATCTGTGAACCTTGTGTATCATTATATATCACCCATCTGTGAACCTTGTGTATCATTATATATCACCCATCTGTGAACCTTGTGTATCATTATATATCACCCATCTGTGAACCTTGTGTATCATTATATATCACCCATCTGTGAACCTTGTGTATCATTATATATCACCCATCTGTGAACCTTGTGTATCATTATATATCACCCATCTGTGAACCTTGTGTATCATTATATATCACCCATCTGTGAACCTTGTGTATCATTATATATCACCCATCTGTGAACCTTGTGTATCATTATATATCACCCATCTGTGAACCTTGTGTATCATTATATATCACCCATCTGTGAACCTTGTGTATCATTATATATCACCCATCTGTGAACCTTGTGTATCATTATATATCACCCATCTGTGAACCTTGTGTATCATTATATATCACCCATCTGTGAACCTTGTGTATCATTATATATCACCCATCTGTGAACCTTGTGTATCATTATATATCACCCATCTGTGAACCTTGTGTATCATGATATATATAAAACAAAACTGTTAGTCAGCATGTTGGATGTTGGTAACAGAAAAACATAAAAGTAAACATATATACAAAGCTAGCAGTATTCATAAGGAAACTTTGTCTGCCATATTGTTTTACAGTATTTTGAACAGTTATGTAGCGGAACTGGACTTGGTCAATCATTTGTGACCAGGTAGCTCAATTGGTAGAGCGTTGGTCTAGAGTTCGGAGGGTCCCGGGTTTGAACCTCAGTCTGGCCGTTACATTTTCTCCTGTTACAATATTGGCGAGTTTGCCAACCCTTGTTTCAAGCATTGGGTGTACGTTTAGCAAGGGGATACAATTCGGGGGCAAAGACTTCGAAAAAGGAGGGAGGAATGTAGCGGAACTGGACTGGGTCCGGGGTTCAAACTGGTCATTGCATTTCATATAGAGAAAACTAAAAATCAGACGAATAATTGAAACCAATTTGACAATAGAGACCATTTGTTTACCCTCAAAGTTGAAATTTAAGTACATGTATTACCATTTAGACACTTTAATGATTCAAAACATCATACCAACTATTGCCAAAGGTGTGACAAGGCCATGTTTATTAGGCCATAGGTGTGACAAGGCCATGTTTATGAATAAGTACTCCTCAATAATTACAGCACTTCAGTAGGTTTTTAAAAAACTCTCAAGGGAGTGAACAATACCTTGTTTTATAACCTGAATCAGAGAACAAAGATGCTCATCAATTTACAATGTGTACAGGTGTAATCTGTTAGTCATGATATGAAAAAATAATGTCTAGGATCAAAGATCAAGCAAAATCTAGTTAAGTCTAAATTTTAATGTTGTGTAATTTCAATATATTTATAAATACAATGTACATTTACTTATTGTAATTTATTTCACTTCAATTTGTTTTTTGTTTGTTTCATAATTACAGTCTTTATCTACATCACACACAGTATCACACAAACTGAAAATATTTCATATAAGTAACCATTTGCATTATAGACAGGAGATGTAAATACTCATCAATTGGTCTTCAATTATGGACAACAGATTTAAACACTGTTGTCTTGTGTGTTGTAAGTTATGTTTTATTGTCCAAATAAGAAATATAAATATGTTTCACCTATGTGTATAGTAAGTCATCAATTTTGGAAAACAGACTTAATTACTAGTGTCCTGTGTGTTGTAAGTTATTATTCACTGTGTGAGCCAATCATAGTTGTTGTCATAAAGTTAACGCTTAGTTGTCAGCAAGTTATTTTTTAGTTGTCAGCAAGATAACTTTCAGTTGTCAGCAAGTTAACATTTAGTTGTCAGCAACTTAATTATTAGTTGTCAGCAAGTTAACATTTAGTTGTCAGCAAGTTAACTTTCAGTTGTCAGCAAGTTAATTTTTAGTTGTCAGCAAGTTAACTTTCAATTTGCTCATTTAAAATTCCAAGCTGTAAAACTTTAAAAAAAAACAACATTATTTTAATTAAATTCTTCATGATTGATGATCATGACATCATAACGTTAGGCTTATATAAAAGCAGAGTTGTTATAGTGATCATCTAAATTTCCCAAAACGATCATTTTTACACAACTTCATCCCAGAATACATTCCTTAAAACCACCTGATAAACTCCTGAGTTAACTATCTAGGTGTCAGCAAGTTAACTTTTGAGTTAAACAAATCTTATTGGTCATGCTATTGCTGTATCTCATTTGGTTACTAAGGTGACATATTGTAGTGTGTATCTCATTTGGTTACTAAAGCACATATTGTAGTGTGTATCTCATTTGGTTACTAAGGCGACATATTGTTGTGTGTATCTCATTTGGTTACTACCAGTAAGGCTCTGACAGAACTTACATAGTTAAACATGCACAACTAAAGACTGACAAAACTTACATAGTTAAACATGCACAACTAAAGACTGGCAGAACATACATAGTTAAACATGCACAACTAAAGACTGACAGAACATACATAGTTAAACATGCACAACTAAAGACTGACAGAACTTACATAGTTAAACATGCACAACTAAAGACTGACAAAACATACATAGTTAAACATGCAAAACTAAAGACTGACAGAACTTACATACGAAATTGAATGAAGATCTATCCAGCACTTCTTGAGAATTAGTGATAACAAGAATTGATTAAATGACAGACAAAATTATCACTATAACGGCTACGACTTGATAGGAAATCACCTGATCTATCCTGACTGATCATCACTTCTAGTCAAGTGATTTATGATGGATATAAACAACTGCTCTGAATATTTCATACTACATGTGTACTGTGATATTCATTTAAAAAACTATGTATGTGATATGGGTATCGGTTTTAATTTTCAATAAACTCTAAATAAAACATTATTTGTTTGTTCTTCTTTGTTCATTACCAATTAAAACAGTAATGGTATGACTGTAAGTATTGGGTCCATTGACATTTTATATTTTTCCAATAAGTATAGTTTACAGTGATTTAACACAACAATTAAACATTACCGTATGCCCCTTGAGCCTATGTGGATAGCCTGTTCTTCACATAACATCTGTGACCTTCAAGTTATTTAAATGTTTTGGCCATCATCAATCTATGCTTAGTGTCAGAACAAGTCATTTCAGAGTTTGCTGGCTTAATATCATGACTAGGTCTGTCCGTTCTTCAGAAAAAGCTGTTAAAGAGTTTAAACGAATTTGACTCCTGTGACCTTGAATATACCATATTTTACCGGCAAAAAGCCCCCTCTCGCAGATAAGCCCCCTCCCCACTTTAGAAATGTCCTGGGAACAGGCTGGGTGCCTGCCATTAAGCCCCCCCCCCCCCCCTTTTTGCAGGTGAAAAATGTGAAGTCGTTAGGAGAAGAAAAAAAACGAAACTTCAAAAAAACATTTATTTGTGTCTGTGTTGTTTCTTTAAAATCTGCATCAACAGGTAGATCTCTTAATCCCTTTGGTAGAAGTAGGATTTCAAAGGTTTTTACCGCTTTTTCCCTTGTTGGGCCCCGTAACTCTGCCCTCGGGGGACCACACCCACCGTTTAAACAAAATTGAGTTCCCTTGATCTAAGGATGCTCCAGACCAAATAAAGATGAAATCTCTTAAATCCCTATGGTAGAAGAATAATTTTAAAGGTTTTACCTCTATTTCCCTATTCGGCCCAACCCCTCTGCCCCCAGGGTGTGGGTGTGGGTGTGGGAGGGGGGCCACACCCACCGTTTATACAATATTGAGTCCCCTTTGCCCAAGGATGCTCCAGACCAAAATAGGATAAAAACCCTTAATTCCTACAGTAGGAGAAGGATTTTAAAGGTTTTACCTCTATTTTCCCTATTGGGCCCCAACTCTCTGCCCCCACGGGGGGCCACACCCACCGTTTATACAAAATTGAGTCCCCTTGGCCTAAGGATGCTCAAGACCAAATTTAGTCCAAATCTACTGGGCCGTTCAGAACAAGTAGCGTTTTAAATCCATATAGGTTAACATAAAGAAACAAACACTATGCCTCCAAAAAGATGGCAGTATAATCTTTCGTGAGTTTTGCTTGTTTATTTGGAATGCCAATCATCCCAACCAGGTCAAAAAGGTTGACTCTGAGGCTTCACTAAACAAGAGGCCCAGAGGACCTGTATTGCTCACCTGTTTCTATTAAATTGTTACATGAAACTGACATATAGGTAACTTCAGACCAAATTTTGTAACTAGAACACAAGACATTTTAACATCTCTTAAATGGTTCTGAAGTTATTGTTGTTTGAAATTTCAGTGAAATTTTAATTTTAAAGCTTTTAACCCACGTTGACCTTTGACTCTGGCTAGTACTTAAAGTTGACCTTTGGCCTCATTAATGTAATAAAGAAAACAATTTACACAGCTGGTCTACATAACATACCCAAGAATCATGTCTCTAGATCAAATGGTTCTTAAGATATTGTTGTCTGAAGTTTTTAACATAGTTGACCCCTGTGACCTTGAAAGTAGGTCAAGGTCATTTTAATGAAGAGGCTTTATAGCATTCCGTCCCAGGTACCTACTGGCCAAATATCATGAGCATGGGCCTTATAGAACTTGAGAAGAAGTCGTTCAAAAGAAAAAGTTGACGGACAGACGGACGCCAGACGCCGCAGTATGGCATAAGGTAACATGGCCCTTCGGGCCAAGTGAGCTAAAAACATAATTGCCGTTAAGCAAGCTTTAATCCTACCTTACAGTGGCTGTATGTACCCTTCAGAACATGGAGAGTTCCCACAGGAAGTGAGTGCACATCGCTCCAGGACAAGGCTACCTTGGAACTCTGGGAAAACCTCACAAAGGTTTCACAGCATTCAACGGTTTCAAGTAGCAACTGAAAAAATGTACATCAATCTTTGTTTACTAGAAAGACTCAAAACATTATATGAAAAGTTTTTCTTTTTTTTTACTCTGGGGATGTGGGTGTGGATAAAACATTTTAGCTAACATTGCCCCCTCCCCACCACCATTAATATTAACAGCTTACCTGATGATGAGTAAGAACTCTATGTTATTTAGTAAACTTACCTGTAGGTGATCATGAGGGAGAGTGTTCTCTTGGACACTGGTCAATTCTTTATGATTCGTTACTTCGTAAACTTACCTGTAGGTGATCATGAGGGAGTGTTCTCTTGGACACTGGTCAATTCTTTATGATTCGTTACTTTACATGTAAACTTACCTGTAGGTGAATGAGAATGTCCTCTTGGACACTGGTCAACTTAAGTTGTGTTTGTTTTGTTACACTTGTATGAAAACTTACATGTACATAGGCGTCCACCTCTGAAACCACCAATGAATGAGATCTTACTCATTCAACATTTTGGAAGAAAGTGCATGAAACACGACTGCAACTGCTTTGCTCAATTTATCTTTCCCTTTTATGTATCAAAACAACTCTAACAAGGTTACCGCGAGCGGTATATAATACGCCCGTCACACATTGAATGAGCAGTTGTTTGTATGATTGAAATATATGAAGTATTTGTGAGTAATTGATATTAAAAGAGAAATCATTCAACATAACTGGTAGATCAATGAGTGCAATACAACATCATGGAACGCATGCATCGCATTAATGAAACCAAGGGTAATAACTCCA